AACCCCCCCTCCCCCGCACCTGCCACCTCCCTCTTTGTGCCCTTAGTTCAAAGTCTCCCACTGGTAAATCTGATTGGCTGGACCTAGAGCCGCAGGTCTGCACCCTAGCTTAAAGGATGCCAGGAAATTGAGTTCTGACTTCTAGAATGGAAGGGTAATTAATGCTGGCGACCTGGAAATTTCCAAGTAGAGAAAAAATTGGAGGGATATCAGGTGAGCACAAATGTAGGGTGTCTCCCCAAAATGTATACACACTCTTCGAGTACTAAGAGCAGTGTTTATTCAAATACATTTCATTTTCAAAATTGGGCTATCTGCTGTTCAAGTGTGTCTACAGGTTTTGGGGACACCCTAGATATAAGACACCCACTTCTTCAGTCCTTTTCCGAGCAGCATCTGTGTGAGAGGCGGCCTGGCTTGATGCAGGTGCATCTGAGGTTCTGAGTAAATCCTTGTTGAGTGAGTCACACTACGAAATGTGCATTTTGATCCAAAGATATGATTCGAGTGCTCCTTGCAACCGTTCTGACTCATTCTCAGTATCAAAATTGCTGTAAGCATGTATCTTGAAATAAACAGGTGAGTTAACGACCTATTTTATAAAGGCCCAGAATCAATGCATACATCGAGGGCTCTGGACAATGCTCTGCCTTTAAACATTATGGTAAGAATCAGGCTCGCAAAAGATGGTGATGCTTTGGTCCAAAGAGAGAGAGGTTTCCCTGATGTGGTGCCCTCTTGCTTCGCCGAGTGTAGACAAGAGCACGGACAGGTCCTGCGGGGCGGCAAAGAGGAAAGGAAACCGTCAGTCTGGAGTCACAGCGCCACCTGGTGGAAGAAGGAAGGGCTATTCCCGCAAGGAGCCCACCGTTTATCACAATTTGTGTGAGGCGTGTAGTGCCAGATCTAGGAAAAAAAAAATAAAAAGTGAATGGAAACACTACCCTGTGGACTCGCACATTGTTACTGAGTGAATTCATCAGCAGCAACATTGTATTATGTGTGTGTGTGTGTGTGTGTGTGTTAATCCCTAAATATACAGTCTCATTCGTTCACGTATTTATTCATTCCTTAGCTAATATTTGTCAAGCATCTATCTCCCTTCCTATTGGTGCTGCAATTACAGAGAGGATGAAACAGGCTCATTTCTATTGGGGCTCCAGTATCACAGGGCAGACAGAGTTAAAAAATAAATGTGTTAGGGAGGGCTCCAAGGAGATTGAAGGGGGGTGCTGCTGTTTGTGGGTGGTGCATACATTTCGGGAAAGCTTGATGGAGAGACATACAGGATGAGTGTTGAGGATGAGTAGAATTTACCCATGTGAACAACAGGAGAAAGGACCTTGAGGGCTGCCAAGTGAGCAGTGCAAAGGCCCTGGGGCAGAAGGAATCAGGCAGCACCCACGGAATGGTGTTGCCAGAGAAGGGAGCACAGCGAGTGAGGGGAAAGGTGGTACGAAGTCAGGTCAGAGAGGGGGCTAAACTTTGGTAAGCATTCAAATTATACCCATGTGCCCTGGGAAGACAGGGAAGAATTTCAAACAGAGCCACGATAAAGCAATTTACAAAACTGTTGAATCTAATACACACGGACACAGTTTCCATTACCCAGCACAATAAGACTCAAGAACTACCAGACAGAGACGGCCACGCGTATAGAGTGGTGGCTTAGAAAAGTGCCAACTATGAAACGGGGCAGAATTTAGAGGTAGAAGAGGTTAGCGATAGCCAGGCAAGGCGTTCCAGGGTGGATTAAATATTGAGGGGATGCAGAGGAAACTCTGGTGACCCCGGAACAAGACAGGGAGGAGGCAAGTACAGGCCAGAATAAGTAGCCTAGGAAGGATATCGTCCAGGCACACAGTCCCTGATTCGCAGCAGTTAGAAAGTCCCTGACTTGCACAGGCTTGCTTAAGAAAACCCAGGAGATCCCCCGTTTTATTTAGGAACAAGACAGTGGGTTATAAGAACGTTCCAGAAGCTGTGCACCCGGGGGGGTCACAGATGGATGGGTGGCCTGTGCTCTCCGCTTAGTGGTCATGCATAGGTTTAGGATTTATTTGGAAATGAATTTGAGTCCTTTCAAAATCACAAGACTTAAAAAGGTCCAGAGGACTGACTCTAGGAAAACGGGGAATTCCCATCGGTCCTGGGTCCCCGTTGCCTCGTGACAACCATTGGCTGGAGGCGAGGAGCTGGATGTGGAGTGAGAGGGAGCACAGTCCCTCCCGTCCCTCTGGCATTCACACCCTGGCCTTGGCCTGCAGGCCTGGGAACCTGCTCTCCACCTGCCCCGCCCCGTTCCCCACAGCCACAGTGGGGGGCGGGAGGAGGCCATGTTCTCCAGCTTCATCTCTTGCCCTCCTCTACCTTCTCTTTTCTTTTCTCCCTTTCCTCCAATTTCTTTAAATACACCATGGTCATCTATCTTTATTTGATAGTAAAGGTTCCCTCCACACTTCCCTCCCTCCCTCTGGGGCTGGGACTGGGGTGGAGGAAATGGGAGATGCCAGGAAAGCCAGGAGGCACTCACTGGGGGTGGAGAAGGGGGGGCAGCACCTGGTCCTGCCCCACCCCCACCCCATTACCTGTTACCTTCCACTCTGATCAAATCGCAGCTGAAACACAAATTCGTCTGGCAGGGATTGGCGATTTATTTAAACCCCTTAAGATCTGTTCCTGTAACAAGTGAAATTGGTTTTCCCCTTTAAGTCAGAGATTTTACATTTTAAAATATATTTAGTCTACGTTTTTAAAACAGGTTTTAAAAAATAATTCAGAAAATAATCATTGTGTTGATATTTTGTTTGGAATATTTACCCAGGTGGCCTCAGGCGGGGTTCTGCCTGGGGACACTGCCACGGTCCTTGGGCGCCCCCTGCAGGCGCCCCTGCACCTTGGGAGCTGTCGTCTGGCGCAGACGTTGCCAGTTTGGGGGAGACGCCTGTAGGTAGGGCTATGAAATCTCGCGGTTCATTCTCGCGTTGTGACAGCATCTAAATGAAGCTGGGACACATCTGGATAATCCTGTAGCCTGCATGTCAATTCAGGTAGAGTGTTTGTTCCACTCAGTTTTTCAATCAACATAGTATTTGATTCCTTGCATCGTCCACACAGAGTTTTCACGCTGGTAATTACCGTCTTTTACTGCTACTGTATGTATTCTTGTTATAACTACAGCTCCAGTCTCTGCCCTCCCCCACCCGGTCCCCCCTTCCCCCCCACACCCCTCTCAGGAGTTGTCCTAGGGCTGCAGCTGAAGGTGCTGTGACTTGTGGGGATACACCTGTTCCAACAGTAAGGTACCATGTCCAAATCATCTTCCTTTTTTTTTTTTAAATATACTTTATTGACTTTTTTACAGAGAGGAAGGGATAGGGATAGAGAGATAGAAACATCGATGAGAGAGAAACATCGATCAGCTGCCTCCTGCACACTCCTCACTGGGGATGTGCCTGCAACCCAGGTACATGCCCTTGACTGGAATCGAACCTGGGACCCTTCAGTCCGCAGGCTGACGCTCTATCCACTGAGCCAAATTGGTTAGGGCTCATCTTCCTTTCTGAAATAGTGTCTAACATGGTGCCAATTTCACACAAACAAATGCACGCCCCAAACTCCTCATTTAGATGCATTAGAACAGAAGTCTGGGGTGCAAGTTCATACACCTGTAGGGCCTGACAGGTAAGCTTGGGGTGAGGCAGGGATCTGTCAGGGCCCTGGAGAGGGCCTGTTAGCTAAATGGGCCATGCCTGACCAGCACCAGCACCAGCACCAGCCGCTGCTATCGCCAAAACGTAGGCTCAAGGCCTCCAGGACTCTGGTTTTACAAGCTCAAGCGAAACAAAGTATTGTTTTGATATTGTCGAGTGAAATGCAATTTTCACACTTAGGATGCAGGCAGTGGGAGGCCAGGGTTCAGCCTGGTGTAAGGGAATGTGTTAAACCACCTTCCGTGTGGCAATTCCAACGCCCACGCCTCGCGGGGTTAGCATTTTCCAGTGGTTCTTGTTGAGTTTCCTTTCTCCAGTTGTTCTCATTTGTGCCCCAGGCTTCTTCCTCTTGCTGGTCCAAGCGGGGATTCTGAGCCCAAAAGGAATCGGAAGGTACCGTATGAGTTGTACCGTAATCGCTCCACAATGTTGTTGAACAGGTTGGTGAATGGGAGTGCTTCCTCCTCTACACCGTCTGAATTGTCGGGGCACATCAACATCACGTACTATTGCCAGGGCCATTCGTTATTAGCCTTTTGAAAGGTAGGTCAGTTTCTCCGTAGGTACATTTGTGGGATTGACGAAAAGGAATGTCCCTATCATCCCCTCCAGGCCCCGCCCCGCCCCGCCCCTTTTTTTTCGCAGATCCAAGAGGAGGGAATGTGGAGCCGGTGGTGTCTTTTGCGGGAGTTGTGGGCCCACGGGGAGTGAGCGGGGGCCGGGAGGGACCGGCAAAGAATGGCTAGTTGCATATAGATAGGAGATTATCTCATATCTCTAACCCATCAAAAGATCACAAGTATGCTATTGACAGCTCTCTTGAGAAATACAATTTTATAACTTGTAAAGTTCAGGAGTAAACATTTTCTATGTACAATGCTTTGAATTGCCTTTTTGGAGTCCTCCTTTCATTTTCTCATTGGACAAACTGAAGTCTTTAGACTAGGCTGGCAGATGGAATGGATATAAAATGAACA